TATCAGATCAGAGCTGTCAATTCATGAGTACTCTCTGAACTAGAATCTGTCAAGTTCTCAAGATTATACACTATCTGTTAACTGTCTATTACTCTGAGATTGATAATACATCAGAATGAATAATTCAGACTATAAAGAATTATCTTTATAAGTTATGTAATTACTTATAAGATGATTGACATGATCTTCTTCTACATACAGAGATTATTATCAACAGTTGAGATGCTGTTTCAACAGATATAAGTCTGTTCTTTCTTACATACAGATATCACATGAAAGTGTTAAATCTTCTAAAGATTATACAGTTCACACTGAATCTCTGCAGTCTGATTCAGATCATTGATAATATATTAATAAAGCTTTAAGATATCTGTAATTGATCAGAGATCTTTATAACAACTGTGAAACAAGATTAAAAGAGTTAAATCAATGTTTACTGAGATTTCACTGAACAATATAAGATAGAAGATCTGATATGATTGAATCTTAAGAATATACAAATCATACATTTATCTTGTATAGACTGACCGTTTGACCGTGTCTGAGACCAGGACCAGATTTTTTGATAGTCTCATTACCAATTCAACTGATCTCATTACACGGTTTTATCATTAGATAGTAGTCTCATACTGTTTCAGTGAGACTTACTGTCTACTCTTGTCACATTTTTCAAATGAGACCATGATTTTCACTTCTCAATTTAAATTATTTTTATTGCTTTAAATGACTTTAAATCTCATTTGAGCATTATCAAAAAGTGTTACTTTTTAAAAAACTAAAAATAGTCTAAAAAAAACCTTAAAATGTCTAAAAATAGTAACTTTATGCCAAGAATGAGACTAAATGAGACCAAATGGAATCACTTTCTCATTTTTTTCAAGTCATGATCTCATTTTAAGATCTGATATATAGTCACTTTGCATGGTTTTTTGATAGCCAGTCCCAGCGGGATTCACGCCAAGAAATGTATAGAACCAGATTAAATGAGACCAAATGTGAAATTCATAGTCCCGGCGGCCAGTCTAATCTTGTACACTAGATTATCATTATATTAGATGTAAAGTGATAGAAGTTCTAGATAGTCATAACTACTGTCTTAACATATTATCAGAGATTTACAATATATTTCATACAAGCTTACTTCACTGCATTATCACTGATCTGTTTCCTTCTCAGCTGACTTCTAACTGACAGTTATCAGACATCATAGAAGAAGATAATGAGCTTGAGTGAGAGATTGAGAATATTCTTAATAAGAGATCTCACAGCTGCAGCTGATAATATCTTATGAAATAAGTCAGCTATAATTAACTGATCTGAACTCTGAGTTCTGTGTTATCTGAAACAGTAGCTCTTAATCAATGAAAACTGCTTCTGAAAGAGAGGAACTAATATGATGAGCTGTACTCAATCAATTATATTAACTATTTCATTACACTTCATAGATTCTTTCATTCTCAATTACTGATTCTCAGCTGCTATAAACACATGTAATATACACTCTGATTCTCAGTCATTCTTGATTACTGATTCTCAGCCACTACAAATGAGTGTATATTCTTCCACTCCGAAGCTCCACTGCGTACATTATCACATACATGTATAAATATTTATCTTAATTACTGATTCTTGCACTTTCTCTTTCTTTTCTTCTTTAACATTTTTATCTTTGTTATATAAGATCTATCAATATTATATCAATCTATTCAGCGTAGGTCTCTTACAAGTATATTATAAAAGAGAAACTACAGATTAAACTTCTCAGAATTACTATCTTCAAAATTAAGCTCTCTCTAAGATTCTCTCTGAATAATTACACAGAGTCATATATTACTGTATTAATTGAGAAGAGAAACAGTGTTATAATACTAATAAGAGAGATAGAAGAAGAACTGATTACTAATAAACTGATCAGCAGAAGAAACAATATCTCACTGTAAGATATAGCTACTATTACCACAGCTGTGAGAGATATAGAAGAAGAAGAAGATGTGATAATAAGAGTAGTACTTTCACAGCTTATTAACATTATTTTCTTCATCTTCAACCTGACTTTCTTAGTAGTTGTAAAGACCGCAGCTGCACTATAAAGACATTTATTACTCACTAGAAAATATCAGAATACATCTCTTATTGTCTTTTAAGAATAATACACTTATACACTGACTATTACAAATTGAGAAGAGAGAAAAAAAGAAATAATAGAGAATAAAAATCTTTTCAAAAAATTCTACTACTACTGTTAACTTTATCTCTAAAATACATTACTTTTACAGAGAGTTTTATATATAGAATAAAATATATTAAGAGATCTGTAAGTCACTTATTAACTACATTTTTCACATTTTAATTAATATATAAGAAATTCATTTATCACGCAATTGATTTGAACAGAGATGAGAAAAAGAAGACTTACACAGTTAATAGAGAAACTCATCTATTTCTTTGTATTATATATAGTATATACACTGTTAATCAGTTAGTAACTGTTACTATAGAATAAGAATAATTTCTAATCTGATAATCTTGAGAATATCAGAACTATACTTTTAAAGAGAAGAGTATTATTATATCTCTGACTATATCAAGACTTTGTTATAGTTTTATACAGTGTATTACTTCTCTACAGATGATTTCATTTATTCTACAGACTATTTAAACTGATTTTTAATCACTCTATAATATTATTCAGATATAATATAGAAAGATCTGATTAATAAATATAAAAATCTCACTTCTATACAAGATTAGCAGATTACTCTTTTATAATAGTGATACTGCTGAGATATCACTACAGCTATTCTCACTTATAAAATAGAAGAAAGATATCTGTTTATTATCTATATAGAATAGCTAGATACTTACTTCTAATTAAAGAAGTCAGTGATTCATTATTCTTCTACTGAAATATATATAAGAGTTACTGCATTTCTCATACAATCTTCTTAGTATACTAAGTATCATATCTGTGATATTCTTGTAATAACTCTGTAGCTCATGAGCTCACTATTTAAGCAAGATAGTCAAGCTTATTTATACAGCTTCTTAAATGACTACTTTTACATAATACTACTAACTAGTCACTGCTTCAGTTCTGCTATGTTATACAGAGTTAGCCGCAGAATCTGTACTCTGAAAATTCTTTTTATTCTTTGAAAAGTTAAGCTGTAAGTGAATCTTCTTCATAAGAAGATTAATATTCAATATTATAGCTGTGAATTTGAAATTCTGCATCTTCTCTATCTTCTTTTAAATATAATCTCTTCAATTGTTGAGTAGAACTGAGTAGAAGATATTAAATATTTATATATCTAAGAGAAATATATTCATTATCTTCAATTTCATAATAGTAAATCAGAATTTATTAAAGAATATACTTAAATAAGATTCAAAGTTATTTAAAGTAATAAAAATAATTAAAATTAACAAGTGAAAATTATAATCTTATTTAAAAAATATAATAAGAGTAGATAGTAAGTCTTACTAAAATAGTATAAGACTACTATATAATTTTAAAATTATATAATAAGATTAGTTAAATTGTTAATAAAACTATTAAATATTATTATTCTGATCTTAGATATAATTACATAGTTAGTCTACTTACTAGTATACTCTATAATATTAATATATAATGCGAAGAAAATGAAAGAAAGTAGACAGAGAAATTAAGAAGTTCTAAATATAAATTAATCTTTATTTAATTAACTATGTAATTTCAAGATTCTATTTATTAGTATTATTCTTCAATTAAATTTCTTCTTATATAAGATAAATTAATACATTATTAAAATATTCTTTATATATTATTATTCTATTACTTTTATACATCTTTATTTATACTCTTTCTACACAGTAGAGTGAATATTATATAATATTATAATAAACTTCTCTCTAGACTGACTGCTGAAATCATGAATTTTATATTTAATTTCATTTAATCTGATTTCATATATTTCTTAGCATGAATTCTGCTGAAACTAGTCATTAAAAAAACATGTAAAGTAACTATATATCAGATTTTAAAATGAAATCATAACTAGAAAAAAATGAGAAAGTAGTTCTATTTATTAAATATAAATTAACAATCTGTATATTATTAAGTAATATAAATTTCAGAACTATTTCATAGTGTAACTATGTTTTTAAAACAGAGTCTTTTTATTTAATTATATTTTAAAGAGTATAAGTAACTAATCTTATTATATAATTTTAAAATTAAATAATATTTTTATACTGTCTTAGTGAGACTTACTGTCTACTTTTATTATATTTTTTCAATGAAATTATAATTTTCACTTCTCAATTTAAATTATTTTAATTACTTTAAATAACTTTAAATCTTATTTAAGTGTTATCAAAAAGTGTTATTTTTTAAAAAATTAAAAATAGTCTAAAAAAAACCTTAAAGTATTTAAAACTAGTAACTTTATACTAAGAATCAGATTAAATGAGATTTAATAAGATTACTTTCTTATTTTTTCTAAGTTATGATCTCATTTTGAGATCTAATATATAGTCACTTTGTATATTTTTTTAATGATTAGTCTTAGTGGGATTCACATTAAGAAATATATAAGACCAGACTAAAATGAGATCAAATGTGAAATTCATGGTCTCAGCGGCCAGTCCAGTGGTAGAGAGAGTAGAGGTGATAGAAGCTATTGCTAGGACAATGCCACTGAGCAGGCGCATATCCATGAATTTTTGATGAGATGCATGTGATGTCATGTTACAGCGTTTTTTGCACGGAAAAGTTGGTTTTTCTTTAATATATAGAGAGATATAGAGAGATGATTTACAGCTCAGTGACTGTGTTGCTGATTGGAATGATGGAACAATCATAATCCGGTCATGTAATAACCCTACGTTCTTCCGGTAACTATGGTGTGCACTTTGACACAGTTATTTGCAATCTCTGAGAAGTTCGTCTTGTTGTCCTCTCAAGATTTTTCTGTTTGCGCTCTGACTGGCTCTTCGTGCTCTGAGCCATTGTTAATATGGGTCAAGTCTCCGCATCCCCACCCGCGACGGTTCCCTTTTTCCATCTCGACGATTGCCATGCTCGCCGGGTGATCCAGGTGGTTCGCTGCATCCTCGCGACCGAGGTCGCGGAGCAGTCTTTTGGCATGCTGATAGATGGCCGATTGACCATGAAAGCCTTGAGGGCATGCAGACGCATCCGCCTGGATGAAGACTATGACGAGATAGCGAAGTATACAGGTCCTAGCCAGGACACCATATCCATGTTTCGCTCTCTGCGAGAACAGTTTGATCTGTCACACGTATTAATAAAGGCATCTGTATGTTATGTCTTCCCATAAACCGACACAGTCGCCCTGATTCCATGCTCCATTTAATGAAATACATGCTTAACCGTCTCCTAGTCCGCCGAGAGGTTCCAGCGCTCTACCGTGCAACCATCATCTGCGGATTTTCAGCGTGGTCTGCTCGACCTGGTTGTTTCGATGGTCCATGACCTTGCCATCAACATTTTTGGAGAACTTCACCGGTTCAAGTACCAGAACACCCCTCATCAAGGCCTCGAACGCGCTCTGCTTCCGGACTTCCGACATCCAAAATACCTCCAGTCTTATTTGTATCCACACGGGCCGACTGAGCTTGTCGGCTACTGGATGGAAACAAGGTTGTTTGGGGGAGTGGTTGTTTTTGAACATGGGAATCCCCCAGGTGAGGTCAGCATAAATCCCCAACCCTTGCCAGTATTTCTGTGTATTCTGTATACGTGTTCAAAAGTACCTTATTTTAACCGAACGCAGCCTGGAGTTCCCTGGATCCATTTCCCTTATGAGGGAATCATGCGGATGTCCGACAAGCAACTTGATGCTTTCACCCAACTCGCTTTTACAACATCCCCCGTGTCCGACCCTGCAGCAGTGAGCGATCTTCTACCATTTAAAGCCGAACCGGATGTACAATATGTTGATTCATTTGATGCCTACGAATTTGGCTTGTTTAGAAACTACTTTGAGCACAATCCACCCCCAAACATCAGTCGATTTAGTTGCACTTCCATGGGGAGGAATGTCACATACCCAGACTGGGTGCGTGAGTATCTCAAGAAGTCATGATTTCTGATGATGGTGGTTCAAGTCTTCTTCATAATTGAAGTCCCCTCCATTTCTATTACATCCCCTTTTTTATTTGTATCGCTGTCACTGGCCAACTGCACACTCGCTCTTTTTTCCCAGAGGCCATTTGTGTTTGACGGCGCTCGTATCATATTCAGGCCTCGAGCCTTCTGGTGTGATGTAGTCTTGGTTTTCAATTTGCTGCCTTAGCTATGATTCCTAATTTCCAATCCATGCCTCAGTCACTAGTAGACTGGCCGCTGGGACCATGAATTTCACATTTGGTCTCATTTGATCTGATCTCATACATTTCTTGACATGAATTCTGCTGAGACTAATCATTGAAAAAACATACAAAGTAACTATATATTAAATCTTAAAATAAGATCATGACTTAGAAAAAATAAGAAAGTAATCTTATTTAATTTCATTTAGTTTTATTCTTAATATAAAGTTACTATTTTTAAATATTTTAAGATATTTTTTAGTATATTTTTAATTTTTTAAAAACTAATACTTTTTAATAATACTTAAATAAGATTTAAAGTTATTTAAAGTAATAAAAATAATTTAAATTAAGAAGTGAAAATTATAATCTTATTTAAAAAATATAATAAGAGTAGATAGTAAGTCTTACTAAAATAGTATAAGACTACTATATAATTTTAAAATTATATAATAAGATTAGTTAAATTGTTAATAAAACTATTAAATATTATTATTCTAATCTTAGATATAATTATATAATTAGTCTACTTACTAGTATACTCTATAATATTAATATATAATATGAAGAAAATGAAAGAAAGTATATAGAGAAATTAAGAAGTTCTAAATATAAATTAATCTTTATTTAATTAACTATGTAATTTCAAGATTCTATTTATTAGTATTATTCTTCAATTAAATTTCTTCTTATATAAGATAAATTAATATATTATTAAGATATTCTTTATATATTATTATTCTATTACTTTTATATATCTTTATTTATACTCTTTCTACACAGTAGAGTGAATATTATATAATATTATAATAAACTTCTCTCTAGACTGATCACTGAAATCATGAATTTTATATTTAATTTCATTTAATCTGATTTCATATATTTCTTAGCATGAATTCTGCTGAAACTAGTCATTAAAAAAACATGTAAAGTAACTATATATCAGATTTTAAAATGAAATCATGACTAGAAAAAAATGAGAAAGTAGTTCTATTTAGTCTCATTTACTTTCATTTTTGACCCCGGTGGCCGAATGGTTAATGCGGCCACCCGGTAGCGCCTTGGTGTGGGAAATCAAGGCATGTGAGTTCGAAACCCGCAGGGAATACATTAAATCCAGAACTCAAGCACCTCAGGTTTCTAATAAATACAGAGATGTACAAATCACTTCAATAAATTGCTCTATGTTTCTGAGCTGAGAAGTTATTATCACATGTATCTAATTGTCACTTCTTTGTATTTTCTATGTTCTTGTTATCTTGATGTGATCTCAACACCTGTATTTCCTTCTGTATAATCAACACTTGACCTGTATTTAACATCACGCAAGAACTCATTATAAGCTCCACTTGCATATGAGTATAATGAAAGAATAATAATAATAATAATAAAACTTTCATTCTTAATATAAAGTTACTATTTTTAGACATTTTAAGACTTTTTTTAGACTATTTTTAATTTTTTAAAAAGTAATACTTTTTCATAACACTTAATGAAGATTTAAAGTCATTTAAAGTAATAAAAATAATTTAAATTGAGAAGTGAAAATCATGATATTATTTGAAAAATGTAATAAGAGTAGATAATAAGACTTACTAAAATAGTCTGAAATAGACTGACTATATAACTGTGTCTGAAATCAGAACTAGATTTTTTAATAGTCTTATTATCAATTTAACTGATCTCATTACATGATTTTAACATTAGATAGTAGTTTCATACTGTCTCAGTGAGACTTACTGTCTACTCTTATTATATTTTTCAAATAAGATCATGATTTTCACTTCTCAATTTAAATTATTTTTATTACTTTAAATGACTTTAAATCTCATTTAAGTGTTATCAAAAAGTGTTACTTTTTAAAAAATTAGAAATACTCTAAAAAAAACCTTAAAATGTCTAAAAATAGTAACTTTATATTAAGAATGAGACTAAATGAAATCAAATGAGATCACTTTCTTATTTTTTCTAAGTCATGATTTCATTTTGAGATCTGATATATAGTTACTTTGCATGTTTTTTTAATGACTAGTATCAGTGAGATTCATGCTAAGAAATATATGAGATCAGATTAAATGAAATTAAATATGAAATTTATAGTTTCAGTAGTCAGTCTAGTCTCAGCGGTCAGTCTAGTCTGAAACTACTATTTAATGTTAAAATCATGTAATGAAATCAGTTAAATTGATAATAAAACTATTAAAAAATATAATTCTGATCTCAGACATAGTTATATAATCAGTCTACTTCTCTCAGTTATAATATCTTCTAACAGAGAAACTCACTGAGAAAGTTTATAATAGATGTGCAGAAATGTAAATTAATACTATTTAATAAATATTAAGTTTATCAAGCTATTCAGAATTACTTCTGAGCTTAGAGCAACTTCAATTAAGTGAAAGATAGACTATTTTAAAATATATTCAGAGAAATAAAAGTTATTACACAGTTTCTGTAGATACATCTATAGAAGAAAGATCTTAGAGAGAAGTTATTTATTTTTTCAGATCTTTGAATTAATATAGAATTATGAACATTAGATAGTCAGTAATAAACTGATAATTAATACTAGTTTTAGTAACTTAAACTATTTATAACAGTTCTCTATTCTATCTCGCCAGCGTGGCTCAGTTGATAAGACTGGTAATCAAGATCGCACACATTAGAGATGCGTGGGTTCGAATCTCACTGCTGGCACCTGTCACTTCTTACTCATGAAAGCTCTCATGTAATAGAGGCTGAGTCTAATTAGTAAGACTTAATACAGAGTAGAACTCTCTACTGTAAGTTAAGTCACTAGTTAAGTGAGATTCTGTGAACACTCATCAGAGCTGATATAAGATGTCAATATCTCACTATTCTACTATGTATCTGTCAAGGTTCTAATAATATAGAGTCAAGTCTAATATAGTGATTATACACTACTTAAGTAAGTCTCTAACTAGAGCTGTCATTGAAGTCTAGCTTCTCTCTAAATACAGAGAATAATTTTGAAAATCATCTGACTAGCAGATCTAGATATGTATCTAGACTCTAGACAGAGCACTCTGATAGACTAGAGTCTGCAAGCTCTCTGTCAAGCTCTAATACTGATAGAGAGAACTGCAGTTATCAAGTCTATGATTAGTCTCTAACACAGAGCAAGATTATAACAGCTGATTGATAGACCTATAAGTATCTAATGAGACTGAGATCAGCAACCGGAAGCTTGATGTGTGTGTCATCAAGTGAGCAGTGACAGTCACTAACTAATGTCTCTAGAAATTAGTGACTGGCCTGAGAGGATGAACACAGTGATCAGTTAATTATAGAGAGTTAAATGTAATTAGCTTAAGATGCATTCTGCGGGTGACTAGCGCCTGTAGTCAAATTGCATTTATTCTTATCTTCAGATTGCATTTGAATAAAAAGTTGACTTTGTACTTCTTCAAGAATCAAATTTTGATACTGAGTAAAAGTACATCATTTCTCATCCAAGCTATTACTGCTTTCTTCCTGAAAAATCTGAGATAAAATCAAGAGTAGCAATCTATGAGAGAAAAAGATCAAGATATTAATTTAATCTGAGATTTGATATCATATCTGACTCTGACATTCTAGTGAGTGACATAATAGATAAAGATAATGAGTTTGATACTATTCAACTTATAAATATCTATAATGAAAAATCATTGAAAGAAAACAACAATATCTGAATAATTGATAGAGGATTTTTGAATATAACTCTTCTAAAAAACTCTATAATTGCAGAAGACTTCAATGCACATCATCTCTGATGAAACTCAGAGTGCACAAGAGCAGTAAGAGCAGATAAACTGGTTGAATGAACTTTTGAGCATTCAATAGATTTAGTTAACAAGTCTGATCAACAAACATTCTTTAGAAAAGACATGAAACAGAAATCTATTATAGATCTAACTTTCATGTCATAAAATCTAATTGAAAAAAGACTTATAAACTGGTTTATTGATTCAAATGAAACCTCAGAATCAGGTCATGAGATCATTCAATTTGATATTGAACTGAGTGAAAAACAAAGAAGTGAAAATCCTCTTCTCTCTAATCAGTATAACTTTGAAAAAGCTGATTGAAAAGCAGTTGAAGAAAGAGTAAAACAGCTGAAATCTGAAAGACAGAGTGAGCTCTATTGAAATCAAAGTCAAGATATATCAAATGAAATGCTTGAGAATAGAGTGAAGCTGATTACATCTATTCTTCTAACAAGTAT